GAGCATTTTAATGGATTATTCATAACAAGCAATACAAAATAAATTATTTTGGACCTGCTTTTGGGGCAGGCTTGGGTGGTGGTTGGAAAATTAGAAATAATGATGATGAGAAGGTGTAATGGTGGTGGGATTGCTTGTTGGAATGTTGAATATAATAAATTATTGTGAACTTTCTAAAAATAAAATAAAGTTGGGGGAAATAAAATAAAATGAAAAGAACAACAACAAATAAAGACAAAAAAGTCCCTTCTATTCACCACTGAGTCAGAATCAAGTATATGACCTCATCCAATCCAAAGGAGCATCTAAAGGAGCAATCCCATCACACACTTGGAAGGTAGAAAGCTGAAACTACATAGTGAATAGCATTAATAATATTTAGTAGGTGTTAAAAAAGAAAAGGAGGCCAAGAAGAGAGTTCGAAGAACTGAACACACAAGCCCTAGATTCCAACTGCGTCACTGCATGGTTCTCTAAGCACTGCCTTGTGTGATCCCCACCCATGCCCCACCTCTTTTCCCACCTTTGAACAACCACATTGGGAATAGCCCCCAATCACTGCTGGGAAAGTCCCCCCTACACATGTGCATTTGCACAAAGACACACAGACATGCAGACACACACACACAAAAAAACCAGACAAATCCTATAAATAAATAATAAGAAAAGATGTGCATTCTTGAAAAATATTTAAAGAACAATGAAGATAATAAAAACCACCAAAAAACCACAACCAGGCCAGTGACATTCTCTTGTCCTTTCTTCAAGTTGTTTCTCCCACCACATGGCTTTGCATCTTTTGAATTTGTGCCTCCATACAAAGTAATATTTCCCTATCAATGGGCATTAAGATTGCAAATTTTGGGCCCTTGCATGTGGCTGACCCTGGTTTGATCCCTTGTATCCCATATGGTCACCTGAACATGCCAAAGTGATTTCTGAGACAGACCCAGGAATAATCCTTGAGTACTACTGGGCGTGGCTCAAAAACAAAACAAAAGATTGCAAATATTTTCACTGGTACGATAAACATAAATCCAAAATATCTTGCTTTTCAAGTCTTTTTTCTACACTACCGATCTCATTGCAAGGTGGGAATTACTAGGTAGAAAAATAGAAATTTTTTTTAGGGATTTTCAGTATGTTCTGCTACAATGACTTTCCATATATATATATATGTATATGCATATATATGTGAGAAAAAGAGAGAGGGAGAGGGAAAAGGAGAGGGAGAGAGAGAAAGAGAGAGAAAGAGAGAAAGAGAGAGAGAGGGAGAAAGACAGAGAGATGCACCATTCCTAGTGGGGCTTATGTGCTGGGTATCAAAGCTAGGCTGGGTGTGTGCAAAGCAAGTGCCTTCCCCAGGCCCTATCTCTTAGGGCCTTCATATGTATTTTTTATTCATAGTATAGAACTATCATTGCTCACTTTAGGCATTTTTCTCCAGAAAAATTATTTTCCTGGAGACCAAAGAAAAAGCTCAATTGGCTGGCGTTACTGTATCTGCATGCAGAAAGCCTAAGGTCATTGTCCATACCACTTGGTCCTCTAAACATCAAGCCAGGAATAGTCTCTAGGCCTGTCAAGGTGACCAAAACTTATTTTTTTTTATATCTTATTAAAAAAATGTATGGAGCAGGGGTGCAAGATGATGATGCAGAGAACACTGGGACATGGTGGAAAAATGACACTCTGCGGGAGGGTGTTGGAATGGTCTTTTTTTTTTTTCTGCATAAAACTGCTTTCTGCTGATGGTTCAGTTCTCAGGGGTCACTCCTGGTGGTTCTGGGGAACCCTGAAATGCCAGGAATCAAACATGAAACTGTAGAGATAAATTCTAGTTCTTTGAGTTTTCTCCCTAGTTCCACATTCAACAATCTCTAGAATTCCTTGGTGGGCCAGAGAGATAGCTCAACAGACTAACACTCAACAGACTAACACTATAGCTCAACACTGTAAATCATGGTACCTAAAATAAAAATGAAACAAAAAACATGTATATCTCACATTTTTATTAAGATATAGGGAAACATGGAGTAATAGACTTTCGTATATATTTAGAGAAATGTTGACCAACATGATTTTACTTAAGCTGTGAGAGGGAAAAAAGTAGAATGAAATAAAAGTCTTTCAACCCAGGCTATAAGAGATCAAATATATTTTGGAGGGAAGCAGTTCTAGAATAAGCTGCTGGAATTATATTTGACCACACTTGGAGTCATGTTTTCCCAAGGAAATTTGGTAATTTAGGGGAGGAAAAAGTTTTACTGAATATTCTTTTTTTTATTTTCTATTACTGTGGGTTTTTTTTTTTTTGGACCACATGAGGCAGAGCTCAGGGACACTGCTTTCTGCTGACGGTTCAGTTCTCAGGGGTCACTCCTGGTGGTTCTGGGGAACCCTGAAATGCCAGGAATCAAACATGAAACTGTAGAGATAAATTCTAGTTCTTTGAGTTTTCTCCCTAGTTCCACATTCAACAATCTCTAGAATTCCTTGGTGGGCCAGAGAGATAGCTCAACAGACTAAGTGCGCGCTTTGTATGCAGAAGGTCGGGGTTCAATCTCTGGCATCATGGGGTCCTCGAGTGCCAGAAACGACCCTCTTACCTTCCAAGCACAGAGCTGGAGAAGCCTGTAAACGTTGCTGGGTGTGGTTGCCCCATTCTCCGCTCCCAGCCATGCCAGAAAAGAAAGTTCCGTATTGGGTGTTAAACTAACTTCCTTGTTGGAAGTGAAACCAAAGCGGATTAACAGGAGAAAAACACACACATTTGTTTAATATTTAAGTTTTATGGGACCCAGAAGCCTTAATAAAGAAAGACCTGAAGAAATGGTTGAACCGCAATGTTTGTATGCTGGGTTTGATTACACGAGATTCATGTAAATAAAGTAGGGGTCACTTCGCAAGGTCTGTTTCTCCAGAGACCTCCTTGTGGATAGTCATACAGGCACTGGAGTTTCATGATCTGCTGATGGGGAGAAGTCCTACCCAGCCCGCAGGCCCTATTATGTGACTTCACCTTGAAATGGTCAGTATGGCACAGTGACACTCTTGGAGTCGCATGTCCTGAACCCCATCAGCAAAAACAAGTTAAAATCGTTGGCATGGTAGAAAGCTGACATATGGAGGAATGAGGGTAAATCACTGAAACAAGTCACAAACAGAGCCAGACCTTTGGACTAGGTCCAATTGCAGTTGCTTCATAAGCAGTTTGAAAAAAGCAGAGACTCTTTGTCTTCGAACTTCAGGACTTAGAAGTGTGAACTTTTTGTCACAGGATAGAATTAGAGTCACTTCCTCCCTCCCTCCCTCCCTCTCCTTCCTTCCTTCCTTCCTTCTTTCTTTCTTTCTTTCTTTCTTTCTTTCTTTCTTTTTTTCTTGGTGCTCAGGGCTCACTCCTGGCTCTGTGCTCAGGAGTCATTCCTGGTGAGGCTGAGGGGACCACAATCAGTTGTTAGGGTCTGTGATTAAAACACAAGACCCATGAGGAGTTCAAAGATTTTATTAAAGAGAGTTGTTAGACTGACCTGCTAGGCCCACAGAAAATACAGAATGGATACAGCAAAGATTTTTGCTGTGCAAAAAAAGGATGGTGCAAATGGTAACATGATTATTTAAATAGACAGGGGTTAGGACCAGGGCCCTACCGTGCCTGGTCCAGGTCTGAGAGACACAGCAATTACCTGACAACGCTGGAGATGGCCCAACTCCCTTCCTGTGCAATCAAGACATGGGATCTCAAAGCACAGTAGGCATGTCCTCCTTGGGACAGACTACTGGGCTGGGAGGTGGTGGATCAGGTCTAATCTAGGGAGGTTATGTGGGAACGGGCTCTGGATGACCTGTTTAAGCTTGGCCAGGAGGAAGGTGCTATTTATGCTCCATAGCATCTTTGGAGCCCATTTTAAGGCACCCTAAGTTGCAATTCTTTGACCCTAAACAAATTCACTTTGCCTTAAAAAAATTACGCACACACACACACACACACACACACACACACACACACACACCACACCCAGCAGAGTCAAACAGGCCCTTTACAGCCTTTTTCACTGGCTGCCGAAAAGTTGAATAGTCCCTTGAAGTCAGGTTCCATGGCACCGCTGGGTAGACCTGCATTTCTGGCCCTAATCCTAGATCACCAATCATTCCCGTGAGAAGATTCCTTCCAATGTGGATGCTGATGCTCTTGCTGATTTCATTTGACACTCTTCCCACCACTGGTTTGAAGCAGGCGTCATTCTACTTTCTGCATGGAATCCCCGTAGATCCGCAGCCTCTTGCTTGCCCTGTTAGGTTTCTAATTTTTTCTTTTTATTTTATTACCTTAAAATAATAATAATAATAATAATAATAATAATAATAATTTTATTTTTATTAGTGAAACACCATGAGGTACAGTTGTAGACTTACAAATTTCTGGGCAGCCTCCTGCCCACGGGGCCCAGACTTCCGAGCGCAGCGCTGTTAGTGAGGTGGAGATTCCGCAGTCTGAAGTTCAAAGTCTAAGAGAAACCTAACAGGGTCAACCTTGTCTTTGCCCTGTTAGGTTTCTCTTGGACTTTGAACTTCAGGCTGCGGAATCCCCCACCTCACTTACAGCGCTGCGCTCAGAAGTCTGGGCCCCGTGGGCAGGAGGCTGCCCAGCATCCTTTAGGGGATTACACCTAGACACACCTGGCACAGCCTCAGCAACCTACAATCTACCCAGAGGATCAGAATCGTTCCCCACCCCCCCCGCCCCCACGCCCTTCGCCAGCGCGCTTTCAAGTCTCCACTGAGATCTTGTGTCCACTCTGCAGAGCGCCTGGCAGGCGGCCGGCCGCGGGTCTCCGAAGGTCCGAGACCCCACCTAGGAGGCGCTAGGCCAGGTCCCAGCAAAAGCAGGTGGGGGAGGAGGAACCCAGCGAGCTGGAGCCCTAAACCGAAAGCAAAACTCCTTTGCCCCGCGCCCGGCGCTCCCTGACGCCCGCGTCCACCTCGCCGCCGAGGTCGCATCTCGGCTCTACCATGGTAGATTGCTTTAATTTGCGGTGGTCCAGGTCTGGCTCGCTCTGGTCCCGTGGCCACGATCCCTCGCAGGTAGCTGGAGCAGGTTGGGCATGGGCGGGGGAGGCAAAGGCGCAGGGAGCGCCCAGGACCCACCGCGTCGGGGTGATGCGAGCGCGGCTGCACCGGCCTGAGCGCGCGTTCCGACACCCTCCTCTCTCCTTGAGTGGTTGGGCGCGCGCGCGTGTGTGTGTGTGTGTGTGTGTGTGTGTGTGTGTCGGGGGGGAGGGGGGTCATTGCTTGGAAGGCTGGTTTAGTTAGGGGCTTCGGTACCCCTCTCAGAGGGGTGTGTGTGTGTGTGTGTGTGTGTGTGTGTGTGTGTGTGTGTGTGTCGGGGGGAGGGGCGTCATCGCTTGGAAGGCTGGTTTAGTTAGGGGCTTCGGTACCCCTCTCAGAGGGAACCAGAGTCGAGAGATCGCGCTAAAAACGCAGGCTACAGTTTCTAGTTTGGAAAGGGTCAGTAAGAGGATTCGAGGCGAGGCCACCGACTTGCCATCTGCGCAAATGGGGCTTCCTCTCCCCTGGGGCCTTTGTTTTTTCTCCAGACACAAAGGGGCCCTGTGTTTTCACCATCTGTGCTGGCTGGGACAACCAGCAAATTCCAGGTGCCTTGTTCTCGCTGGCCATCTAAGCACTACAAGTGGTGGCGAGGCCTTTGCCCGTGGATGCAAACTCCCGGGGCTGCAGGGCTGCAGGAGCGTTTGTGAGGTTGCAGAGGGCAGCTCCGTCGTGTACCCGGGGCGGGACCTCAACGATTTTAAACTGATCTTTAACGATTATTAATGAGGCGACGAAGTGAAAGACTGTTTCTCATTAGTGCCTTACCAAAACAAAACATTTAAATATATATAAACATTTAAATATATATATAAAATAAAAGAGACTAAGTCATCACTGTCTTTAACTGACCTCAATATAATGTTTTCCATACAGTGTTCAGTTACAGTGAAGAAAAAACGAGCAGATTCATTGAATTAATTCCTTCTATGATCTATGAGGCATTACAAAGCTGCTATGATTTTCTTACATGACTTAAAGAGAAGTTTTAAATTTGCTGCCTCCAGTTTGCAAGGCAGATGTTTTGTCATTGAACCATGGGAAAATGTGTGTGTGTGTGTGTGTGTGTGTGTGTGTGTGTGTATGTGTGTGTGGAGAAAGAGAGAGAGAGAGAGAGAGAGAGAGAGAGAGAGAGAGAGAGAGAGAGAACAGAGAAGGGCGTTCTCTTGCATTTTTGTTTCAGGTTTTAGGGTTATAACCAGTGATGCTCAGAGCTTACTCCTTGCCTTGTGCTCAGGGATCACTCTTGAAAATCCTTGGGAGACCATATTGACTGTCAGGAATCGAACCCAGGTCCCATGTGCAAGGCAGACACCTTAACTGCTTTACTCACTCTCTGGTCCGTTTTCTTGGATTTTTAATTAAATTAGGTCTTTAATATATGACCTCAGTTGTCTTTGCTTTCTTCAGAGATAGTTTTTCTTCCTAATCTAGGATTACTTGGCGGTGGGGGAGGGGTATAATTTTTTGTTTTATTTTATTATTTAAAAAATATTTTTTAGGTGTTGTGGTTAATGACTGATACGTTTCACGTATATAGCACAGTCCAGGACCACAGCCTCAACCAGCGTCCACTCCACTCTTACTGTTGTCCTAGTATCCACACTCGCAATCCCATTTCTGTTCTAGTTTCCCCTACCCTTCCTTGGGGTAAGTAAGCTTCCTTCTGAAAACTAGTTTTTTCAGTTTCTGTTGCCTTTAGGCATTTGTTATAAGACTACTTTATTTCTTCTTGTTCCACAATATGAAAGAGATCCATGTGTTTCTGTCTCTTTCTGACTCGGTTCATTCAGCATGATACTCTTCAAATACATCCACGTAGTAGCAAATTGCATGCTTTCATCTTTTTTATAGCTATGTAATATTCCGTTATGCGTATGTACCAAAGTTCTTTATCCAGTCATCTGTTCTGGAATATTTGGATTGTTTTCAGATTTTTGCTATTGTGAATAGTGCTGCAATGCATATAGGAATGAAAGTATCTTTTCTAAATAAAATATTTGGGCGTTTGGGATAGATGCCAAGAAGTTTTGCTAGGTTTTATGGTAGTTTAATTCGGAGTGTTTTGAGAAGAGTCCATATTTTTTTCCAAAACGGCTGGACAGTGAATGAGGGTTCCTTTTCTCCCTCATCCATACCAGCACTGTTTGTTTTTTTTCTTTGTGATGTTTGTGATAGTTTCACTGCTTGAGATGATATTTCATTGTTGGGCTGGAGTGATAGCACAGAGGTAGAGCATTTGCCTTATGCGCAGCCGGCCCGCCCAAAATGGGTTCGATTCCTCCACCTCTCTCAGAGAGCCCGGCAAGCTACTGAGAGTATCTCGCCCGTGCGGCAGAGCCTGGCAAACTACCAGTGATGTATTACAAGTCTCAAAATGGAGACGTTACTGGGTCTGCTCGAGCAATCGGTGAGCAATGGGAGGACAGTTGTTTTCATTTGCCTTTTCCTGATGATAGGTGATGCAGAGCATTTTTCCTATGAGTTTTGCTTTTTGGCCATGTGTCTTGTCTTTTTGTAGGTAGTTTCTATTCATGTCTTACTCCTATTTGTTAATGCGGTTGGTTGGATTTCCCCTCCCCACCCCCCTCATTTTTTGCAAAATTCTACTAGTGCTTTATATATCTTGTATTTTAATTCTTTATCAGATAAGTGGTGGGAATATATTTTTTCCCAGTCTCATGGGTATCTTTCTTATTCTGGTGCTCATTTTGTCTTTCAGTGCAGAAGCTTCTTAGTTTAATAGAGTGCCATTTGTTTATCTTTACTTCTGTTAGCTTGGATAATGGTATTGAATCATTGAAGATGCATCTAGTTTCAATGTCATGAAGTATTCTACCTATGTTTCTCTCAGTATAACTTATAGATGCAGCAGGTCTAATGTAAAGATCTATAATACATTTTGATGTGACTTTTGTGTGTGGTGTTAGAAAGGAGTCTGAGAACTTTTTATTTTTAATTAATTAATTTATTTTTGGTGTGGAACTGACCAATTTTCCTAAAAACCATTCTTTTTAGATTCTAATTACCGTCTCAGATTGGGTGATGTATTTATTACACAACTGAAGTTGATATATACAATTTGAGAAAATCCTGCTAGTTATATAATAAATCTTAACCCCTTTTGCCAAACAATAGTGTTTTTTAATTTTTATAAATTTTATTTTCATAAAGTAGTTCACAATACTTCATTACAGATAATATTCAAACATCCACCTGACCAGCGAACATCTTCCCACAACAATAAGAGGGGAGTGTGTGAAGGTTGTTGTATTTCATTCTGGGGCCACTTAAGCCCGTATATAAGAGAATACAAGCAAGTATGTTAAAAAGAAGAAGAAGAAGAAGAAGAAGAAGAAGAAGAAGAAGAAGAAGAAGAAGAAGAAGAAGAAGAAGAAGAAGAAGAAGAAGAAGAAGAGGAAGAGGAAGAGGAAGAGGAGGAAGAGGAAGAGGAAGGAAGAAGAAGGAGGAGGAGGAGGAGGAGGAGGAAGAGGAAGAGGAAGAAGAAGAAGAAGAAGAAGAAGAAGAAGAAGAAGAAGAAGAAGAAGAAGAAGAAGAAGAAGGAAGAAGAAGAAGAAGAAGAAGAAGAAGAAGAAGAAGAAGAAGAAGAAGAAGAAGAAGAAGAAGAAGAAGAAGAAGAAGAAGTTGTTTTGGGGGCTATTCCCAGTATTTAGGGTATATTTCTGACTCCATGTTCGGAGTGATAGCACAGCGGTAGGGCGTTTGCCTTGCACGCAGCCAACATGGCCGACCCGAGTTCGATTCCTCCGCCCCTCTCAGAGAGCCCGGCAAGCTACCGAGAGTATTCGATATGCCAGACACAGTAACAACAAAGTCTCCAATGGAGACGTTACTGGGCCCGCTCGAGCAAATCGACGATCAACGGGAGGGCCTTTACCTTTACCTATGTTCAGGAGTGACCCCTGTCGGTGCCCTAGAGGACCACATACAGTGCTGGGGATTAAACTGCAGTCAGCCATGTACTATAATCTGCCAGTTATTTTTACAGGTACTAAAGAAATACTAAAAGAATGCATGTCCTCTTGCCAGGCATCACTAATTTTATAGTCTTTTTATTTGACCACACAGAGTGCTGTTTAGGACTTACTGTGGCTCTGCACTCAGGGATCTCTGCTGATGGTGCTAAGGGGACCATTTGCAGTGCTAAGGATTGAACCCAGGTTCAATCACAAGCAAGGCAAATAACCTATCCACTATACTATCACTCCAGCCCCAGTTTTATTCATTTTCTACAAACTTCTGCTCTGAAAAAAAATCTGAGGGTTTTACTTAAGTAATCTCTTACTTCCTTTACAAGCTTGAATGCTTTAATATTGTTTTAAATATTTTGCACCTTCATAGCAGTTTTAAGTCAAGGAATGTGATGATCTATTCTCCTCATTTTCCTGGACTGCTTTGTTTCTTTGGACAACTTTGTAGTTCCTCACAAGTTCCAGTAATGTTTGTATTATTTCCTTGAAGATTGTCATTGGGTTTTTGATAGAGATTCCATTGAATTTATATAACACCTTGGATGAGATATTTATCTAACAATGTTAATTCGATACCTGAGCACAAGGTATTTTCCCATATCTTTTAAAATTATTTTTATAATTTATCTAGTAGCACTGTAGCACTGTCCTCCCGTTCATTGATTTTCCTCAAGCAGGCACCAGTAACGTCTCACAAGAAATTGTGAGACTTGTTATTACTGTTTTTGGCATATCAAATATGTTATGGGTAGCTTGCCAGGCTTTTCCTTGCGGGCGAGATATTCTCAGTAGCTTGCTGGGGTCTCCAAGTGGAGCGGAGGAATTGAACCCGGGTCAGCCGTGTGCAAGGCAAATGCCCTATCCGCTGTGCTATCACTCCAGCCCAATTTATTTAGTACAATTTAAATTTTAATAGTAATTTCTCTCTAGGGGGTAAGGGGTAATTATTCTTCCTTCTGTCTTTGCCTCAAGTCCTGCTCTCATTCTTACATTGGTAGGGTTAAAATTGGCATCTGCAAGCACATTTAAGTCTTTGATATTTGAAACACTTAACCTATGAGTGTAAAAGTTAAACGCAGGGGCCAGGATATAGTACAGCCTTCTAGCATGTGTCCTACCTGGGTTTGATCCCTGGCGCCCCATGGTCTCCCGAACACTCTGGTGGCCTGGGTGATTCCCTGCACTGCCATGCCAGACCCTCTCATTGAGCTGCAGGTCTGCACAGTTATTGAGAATGGCTCAGAGTCTATTCCTGGCTTATAATATTCCAGACTTGGCCAGGCTGGGCACAGAGAACCATGGCAGTACATTTCCTGGGCAGGAATAAGCCCTGAGCTTAAAAAAAAATTCTATGCCAGGTGTGTCTCAAACAAACAAACAAACAAACAAACAAACAAACAATCTAACAAACAGAAACAGCCTGGCTCATTGGTCTTTTACACTGCCTTTGATTAAGTGGAATCTTATCTCTTCATTTCTCCCTTTACCCTTTCCTTTGTTTTAGATATTGTCATTGTTATGATGTCCAGGAATCTTATATATTGAGCCCGCTATTTCTTTTACAGGCGCCAGTTTTGGATATTGAGAAAGTCAGAGCTTCTGAAAGAACACTTGTAGTTGCTGATCTTCCATTTCACGATTCCAATGATAAGGCGCTGACCACTTTAGTGAAGAGTTACTTCCAAGACCTTGTACATGAAAGTAGAGCTGTTGAAGCTGTGATATATCCAACAAGTACCAAAGGAGTTGCGTATGTAATATTCAGAGAAAAAAAAGGTATTTTCAAATCATATTTCTGCAATTTTAGCAATATTTATTTAAAGAAGTTGAAAATAGGATTTCATTAAAATGATTCATGTGGTTGATAGTTTTTTTTTTATTTATTTATTGAATCACTGTGGGAAAGGTTACAAAGCTTTCAGGTTTATGTCTCAGTCATGCAAATATCAAACACATTTCCCTTTACCAATACTTATTTTTTACCATGAAGAACCCCAATAAAACCCCACCCCCCCCACCCCTCCCCGTCCCTGTGAGGCAGATGAATTCTAGTTAACACTCTATCTGCTTTGATTAGATTCATTGTTTCAATAAAAGATTCACCACTATTATTTAGAGTTTACCCCCCCCCCCCCCAAATCAGACATGCTGAAAAAGCATTGTGAAGTGATTTGCTTTCTACAGCTGGGTTCAAGAATTAAATGTTGGTTTTGGATTTCTGCTATTTTACCTATTGACCCTGGAAGTATTTCTACTGAAAGTCAGATAGTTAAGAAATTGGTTTCTGTGTTCTGGAGTCGTGGCCGTGCTGGAGAGCCGCTCGCGGGGGGCAACTGGTGGCCTCGGTAGGGCGTGAAGGGCGAAGCGAAACGCCCCCCCCTTCCCATGAGGTTTTAGTCGCCCCCACACTCCCGGCTCATACCTGCTGTCCACAAGGCTCCCATGTGGCCGCCATCTTTCTTTCCAGAGAGGAGAGGGCGAATGGGGCAACACCCTTTCCCCTCCGGCAGACTTGTTGGGCTGGATCAACGCATAGTCCGTTCACTTTTCTGCTCCAAGCTGCTGGGTTCTGCATTAAGTCCTTGTGCTTCTGGGGCCATGGCCGTGCTGGAGAGCCGCTCGTGGGGGGCAACTGGTGACCTCGGTAGGGCGTGAAGGACGGACCGGAACGCCCCCCTTCCCATGAGGTTTTAGTCGCCCCCACACCCCCGGCTCATACCTGCTGTCCACAAGGCTCCCATGTGGCCGCCATCTTTCTTTCCAGAGAGGAGAGGGCGAATGGGGCAACACCCTTTCCCCTCCGGCAGACTTGATGGCCTGGATCAATGCATAGTCCGTTCACTTTTCTGCTCCAAGCTGCTGGGTTCTGCATTAAGTCCTTGTGCTTCTGGGGCCGTGGCTGTGCTGGAGAGCCGCTCGTGGGGGGCAACTGGTGACCTCGGTAGGGCGTGAAGGACGGACCAGAACGCCCCCCTTCCCATGAGGTTTTAGTCGCCCCCACACCCCCGGCTCATACCTGCTGTCCACAAGGCTCCCATGTGGCCGCCATCTTTCTTTCCAGAGGGAGGAGGGCGGAAGGGAGCAACACCCTTTCCCCTCTGGGCAGAAATGATTGCCTGGATTAACGCATAGTCCTTTCACTTTTCTGCTCCAAGCTGCTGGGTTCTGCATTAAGCCCTTGTGCTTCTGGGGCTGTGGCCGTGCTGGAGAGCCGCTCGTGGGGGGCAACTGGTGGTTGATAGTTTAAAGCAGCTTAAAATCATTCTATGCTGAGTATAAAGATGGCACAGTAAAGTACTAGAAAAATATACGTGAAAATGGCTTGTGATAAAGCTGACTGACCAATTTTGTAATTATTTAGATAATTGACTAGAAATAAGTTTTTGTCTTGTGTTTTTGAGCTACTTCTGCATGTCCTCAGGTCTTGTTTCTGTTTTGAACTCAGGTATCATTCCTGGTAGAACTCTTAACAATATTTTTTATGTATAAGTATTTCTCTTCCTTTGCTGTGTTTATTCTTAGACTCCAGATTCTTTCTGATGCAGCCATGAATAACATTGTTTTCCAGATGGTTCTCTTCTGGTTTGTGGCTTGCATTAAAATGACACGATTTGTAGCAGGTAGGGCTGTCTTATGGTCCAAGAGTCCACCAGGAGTAATCCCTGAGCCCAGGAGTATCTCTGAACACAGCCAGGTGTGGCTCCCAAACAAAACGAAACAAAAGGAATTTTGCTTATTAATTTCGTAGCTTGACTTTTTACTGTACTGGTTTATCGTTCCTAAGATTTTTTTTCAGTGGAATCTTTAGGATTTTTCTAGGTACAGTATCATATCATCATGAAATAGGAATAGCTTTACTTCTTTTCCAATTTAGATCCCTTTTATTTCCTTTTCTTACCAATTGCTCTGTCTAGGACTTATAATACTATGTTGAATAATAAGGGTGAGTGTGGGGATCCTTCTTTCTGGCTGTTATTAAAAGAAATGCTTTCAGTTTTCTGCCATGATGATGTTAGTTCTATTCATCAAATATGCCTTTGTTGCTTGGGTTTCAGTTATACAATGATCGAGTACCCATCCCTCCACCAGTGCCCATTCTCCACCACCAATGATCTCAGTATCCCTCGCACCTCCCTTCCCCATCCCACCCTGCCTCGGTGGCAGGACATTCCCTTTTGTTTGGTAATGTATTGTTGAGTTGTTTACTGTGATTGCTGAAAAACACCTCTCCCTTTCACCTCCAAATTGAGAAATTTTGCATCTGAGATATTGGAGATATTGGAGATATTGACCTGTAGGTTTTTGTTCCTAACCCTGTCTGTGTTTTTCCCCCTGATTACCCCGAAAAAAGTTATATATGTATACATAAATTTATATTTTAAAAACATACATATATATCTATACATATGTCTGTTTAAAAGTACAATTAGGGTTATATTTATAAAAGTAAAATTAGAGTTATATTTACATATAAAGTTAGTTTTATTTTTGTTGAAGTAGCATTTGCTGAATTTAGAGGAAAGTGTAGAAAAAAAATCCGGGGCAACCCAAGTAATCTAGTTCAGTCTTAGAGTTGAACATGGTTATTAGTTTGAATTAAGGTAATTATTAGTAGATCATGCCACAAACACTTCTAATGATGATGTTTTCACTTAGTTGCTGAGAATATCAGACAAGGGAAACACTATCTAACAAAGAAAAAGGGAGAAGCTCACTTCACTGTCTGGCATTTTAGTGAAAAGGTAAGGTGTCATGCTGAAGGCGCTGATACTTCTGGATTCTGTTTGTTCGCCAAATGTTCCTTATATAGGAGATAATAAGTATTCTTTCCCCTGGACACCTGTGCAAGAAAATGAAACTTTAATCCATTTCAGCCATTAAATCCCAAATACTGTCTGGTCCATTTTTATTGTTTTTTGGACCACACTCCTGAAGCTCCCCAGGTGTTATTCCTGGCTCTGCACTCAGAAATTATTCCTGGCAGTGCTTGGGGGACCATATAGGGTGCCATGGATCTAACCTGGGTTGGTCTTGTGCAAGGCAAATGCCCTACTAGCACTCGGGACCCAATTGTGTAGTTTGTTTTCATGTTTGTGCTCCTCTTGGTCTCTTCTCTTCTCTTCTCTTCTCTTCTCTTCTCTTCTCTTCTCTTCTCTTCTCTTCTCTTCTCTTCTCTTCTCTTCTCTTCTCTTCTCTTCTCTTCTCCTCTCCTCTCCTCTCCTCTCCTCTCCTCTCCTCTCCTCTCCTCTCCTCTCCTCTCCTCTCCTCTCCTCTCCTCTCCTCTCCTCTCCTCTCCTCTCCTCTCTCTCCTCTCCTCTCCTCTCCTCTCCTCTCCTCTGCTATCTTCCCTCCCATCCCTACTCCCTGGCAATACTCAGGGCTTTCTCTTGGCCCTGTGCTCAGGCATCATCTGTCGAGGTGCCCAGGGGACCATATGGGATACCAGAGATCAAACCTGGGCTGGCCTCTTGCAAGCAAACACCCTACTCACTATCCTATCTCTCTGGCCCCTGGTAGGTTTTCTCTCAGAAAGCATTGTGTCTCTTCGAAAGCCTTAATAACCTGTATGTGTGTTATGTGATGAGGGACATTCGTAAAGAGAACACTATGGCCCTGTTGGTATTGAGGGATCCCTGGGAAGGACTATTATTATGCAAAAGGAAAGTGTGTGGTGGGCATTTCGGGCCTAGTGTGGGACTGCTGCTGTGGAGGAGAGTGGCAGAGGAATGCCTATCCTTTGTTCCCCTGGACACTGCTGTTTTAACTCCTCTTTTTTTAATTCCAGGTCTTTAGTTGTGTGAGAGCCACCCTGGACCTTTCTGTCTTTGGGAGCCATGACAGGCTGGAAAGTCTGGTGAGGGGCCTGCAACAGAAGATTCCAACTTTATGCTTCAGTAGTCTGCAGAGAAGTGGAAAGGTCGCCGTTCAAGGATCATTCCTGGCTTTCAAGATGCTCCATCAGTCTTTGCTATCAGAAGCAAAGTCTTTTGTAGAACAAAACAGGAAGCTGTTCAGTGAGAGGAAAAAATATCACCAACAGAGCACTCAAAGGCATGTACTGAGAAGCAGTGGCTCTGCAAACTCACTCCCCCCCTCAGTGCCTGAGCCTACCACGCGAGGAGAAACACTTGTTCTCCACACTGATATTTTCCTTTACCTGAAACACAGGTGCCGAATTTATGACGATACGTTAAAAAAATCTCGTGTTCTCTGTCAGGAGAGAGTTGATGGCGAAATTACCACAATTTATATAAAAAGCAGGGGATCTGGTACTCGGCCAAACAATGAAAAATATGTGAAAGAGCTCATTGAGCAGTTTTCACATAATCTTCTTGTTAACCTTAGAAAAGAGACATTTGTTTTGGCAGGAAAGGAAAATAGTGAGAGAAAAAATATTCGGTTGGCGTGTGAACAACTATTTTCTAAGTACCCTCAGATTCTGGTTAATGTTTACAAAACACACATTGACATTATTGGGCCTTCTCCTGACACTTATTTATTTAAGAGACATGTTGCAGAATTAATAGGGCACAGGGTTAGATAATAAAATCTCTGCAGAATTAGTGATCATAGTGGCTGCTTCTGCTTACTGAACAGTGGACATTGCCTGCACAGTGCTGTCTTTACATATCTTATAATTTAATCTCTATTTTGTTTTCTATATTTTGTTTTGGCTTGGGGGGTCACACCTGGCAGTCTCAAGGGATACTACTGGATCCGCACTCAGAAATCACTCCTGATGGGCTCGGGGACCGTATGGGGGAGCTAGGGATCAAACCTGAGTCGGCTCACTGCTAGGCAAGTGCCCGATCAGTCATACTCCAGTCCTTCATATAATTCTTCTGTTAAAGTCTTTGCTCTTTCTTGTTAGACAGGAAGAACGCTGAATTAGAGAAAAATAACTGGCTGTATTTACCCAGCTGGCAGGGAATGTGACAATGGCTAAACCCAAACTCTGACTGGAAAGATAATTTTGAGGGTAGAAAACTTTGATGGTGGGAGGAACCCTCATTAAACTAAGAAAATCTCACCTCTGGAATCCCACATTCCTAGAAAAAGAAATAGCCTTAATTCTAGCATATTACAAGTTCAGAACATTCTCATTAAGTCATTGGCAGTTTCTCTAACATTTGTGAAATTGGTATTGTTCGGGTTCGAGATTGATAATCTTCCCTCTCCGAACCACACAGAGTCCAGCCAGTAATGCAAAACATAAGCAGAGTTTATTCAAGCCAGCTAGCTGGGGTCAAGCTCTTAGGCACGCAGGCCAAAGCAAGACCCTGTGCAAGGAAGAAGCTGCAATTTTTATAGTCAGTCTGTGCGTCATAGTCCACACTTACAGCTTCAAAGTGAGATATAAGTGAAAGTACAAGATTTGGCCTAGTTTCAAAGCGCACAATGAGCTGTTAGGGACAGGTCCTCTTATCCTGATAATTTCCCTGCCATTCTGGCCATTGTTCCTTCCCTCCTCCCCTGCTCCCATCCGGGTGGTTTCTGGGAACCAGGGCTGGGCTATCAGCCGGGGGTGGGGGTGGGGGGGTGGGGGGGTGGGGGGGAGAGGAATGAATTCTAAGAACCAAGGCCTAATTATCAGCCTGGGGGGAAGACGCAGGATTCTGAGAACCAAGACTGAGTTTTCAGCCCAGATGTCCTTTTTTTTTGCAGATGGCCAGGGAGGGGGAAGGTAGCAAAATCCTGAGAAAGCCAAAATGTAGGGGTATGGAGCAGGGGCTATAAAAATGGAGTCTGTCTTCTCCCACTCTGTACCCAACAGTATATATCTCAAATAGAATTTGGATGTTGGCAAAACTTAGGTTAAAAAGTATTCTTGGGGGTTATGGTGCTAAAAGCAGGTCAACCTGTACCTTCGGGACAAGTGTATCAGCATCCTAATGATACCTTCAGGCTTCCTGATACCCCCAAATTGCCGCTGTGCTGCTGTGCCTATGGTCAGACCCCAACAACTTGCAACCAAGTTTACCAAGAAATTAAATGGTCAAAAGTTAGGTATGTGGGAGCCACACCCACAAATCACCTCTGGCTCAGTTATACTGTAGTACAGTATCACTGTCCTCCATTGTTCATTGATTTGCCCTAGGAGGCCCAGTAATGTCTCCATTGTGAGACTTGTTGTTACTGTGTTTGGCATATGAATACGTTATGGATAGCTTGCCAGGCTGTGCCATGCAGGTGAGATACTCTTGGTAGCTTGCCAGGCCCTCCGAGAGGGGCGGATGAATCGAGCCTGGCACAGCAGGACCCATGCTCATTTATTGGCCTATTTCAGAGACCCATAGATAAATCTTGAAACAGATCCAAAGCCACAGTTAATCTCGGACCTGCATATGGCTGAAGAGAATGGGGTAAATCAGAGAGGGGCGGGTTGACCTGATGGCCCGCCCAAGCAGAGCCCCAGCAGCCACTTGCTTCCACAATCCAAAATCGTTGCCATACCCCTTGTCTGACTCCACTGTCTCAAGACGGACCTCACCAAGATATAATCCGCTGAAAATTCTGGTATGCGGGTTTTGTGACTGAAATCCCCAGGGTATCTCAAAGTTGGGATGGGCTACCTCCCCCCACTTCCCAATACACATAGAAGCACTGGCAGTCACCCCCACAAACCAATTCCAGCGCCAACATGTAAGCTCTACTGCCAGCCTTGCTCCAGGGATCCCTAAATAAAACCCAAAAGAGATCAAAAGCCACAGAAAAACTTGGACTTGTGCATGGCTGAACAAACAGGGATAAACTAGAGGTGGGCAGGTTGACCTGTGTATGCCCAAGCAGAGCTCCCAGCAGCCACTTGCTTCCACAATCCAAAATCGCCACCATACCCCCAGCCTGACGCTACCGACTCAGGATGGTCCTCACCAAGATATAATCTGCTGAAAATTTTGTAATGTGGATCTTAGTGCAACAACAGTCCTGACCCAGAGACACATTAGCAAGTCCTGGAAGACACCACAGCGCCAGAGATCTCTGGGCCCCAGACCGAGCCAATTTCACCGGGGCACCCCAGATGGAACAGGTATGCTCTCTCCTACTCCAGATGGAATCCCAGTGACCAAGAGTTTCGACAAGTAAGTTCCAGGTATGCGGGTTCCAGAACTAAATCTCCAGCCCGCATGGCTGCAGAAGACCTGGGCTGTCCCTTGCCGGCTCCCTGCCTGCCATGCCCACAATTTGTCTCCCGACTCCATCCTAGGGCACCAACAGCCCTGGCCCAGAGACTCCCAGTTGAATCCCAAAATGGATTGGTGCCATACAGAGATGTCTCTGGAACCCAACCATTTACAATCTAGAAATTTACATTTACGATCATGGCTGTGTGAGCTCTCATGATATTCAAAATGAGCAATGGAAAATAAATTATTTGGTGTCTGCTCCTGGCAGGTAGGCTTGAAGAGAGAGTATTGACGAAATTGTCCATCATAGAGGCAGGCTGTGAACTAGGATGTGGGTGGTAGAAAATGTGCACTGGTGGAGGGATGGGTGCTCCATCATTGTATGGCTGAATCTCAAGCATGAAAGCTTTATAACTCTGTCTCACAGTGAAACAATTTAAAAAAAAGTAATGTGGATTTCATGCCCAATTCAATCAGCTTAATCAATGGCTGAATTAAAAAAAAGTATGCCTGGTGCAGGTAATTGTTACAAAATACCATTGGGACAAACCTACTTAGACATAGTGAATGGTGCTTAGTTATCTAACTAAGCATGTGGATCAAATGTTGAATCTCTTGTTAGAATTATAAAGAATTATGAAGGCGATATACAACTTTTTTGTCTCTATTTCTTCATTCCTTTTTTTTTAGTAATTGTATCATTAAAGTAATGAGATTTGAGGAGGAAGGCCATGAATGAGATACAATAACAACATTTTTTTCATCAGATAAATAAAAAACTAAAGTGTAAAAGGGCAACATTTTTGATGTGTAAGAGTTGGAAGAAACAATATTCTCTTGGTGAAGTGTAGATGGTCATGGGTTAGCTGTCAAAAGTTCATTAAAAGTATCAATCCAAGTAGACAGTTTACCTGCTTCTTTCTCTCTGCATGGTGTCAGTTAGAGTGCAGATTTTCTTCTCTACTTAGAAATTGCCAAACATTTTTGGGTTTTATCTCCATACCTTTCTTTGCATTATGTTTTCTTTTCCAGGATAAATGCTCATTTTCAAAATTGCTCATACCCATTATAGCAGTAGTCCCATACCTGGTCTTCCCCATGTCCACGTTCTATCCTGTGACCTACTACCAAATGAATATGTCTGAAATGATTAGTGGTATTTGAGAGGCTTAAATTGGCTGGCTGGTGTTAATTATCCTTTCCTGAAATTTTACTGCACATTTAATCTTATGGTCATGCTTTTTAATTCATTTACAACATGTTTTCTGAACAGTACAGCTGTCTCACACTCATAAAAAATTTTAGTATCTTATCCTATATTAACTACTGTACTTTGAGTTTTTGTGAGGTCCAATTTTTAGGTGAGAATAAATGAGTTTTCCAAATTACTTATTTTCAAGCTAGACAATATGATTTGCTTTTTGTGAACACTGCTTAAGATAGTATAGATAGTATAGAGACAGAGAAGGGAGATTTTAGGATCTGACACTATAAGATAAAATTTTTTTGACTTTTTTGGGTCACACACGGCGATTCTCAGGGGTTACTCCTGCCTTTGCACTCAGGAATCACTCCTGGAGGTGCTTGGGGGACCATATGGGATGCTGGGAATCGAACCCGGGTGGGCCACATGCAAGGCAAATGCCCTACCCAATGTGCTATTGCTCCAGACCCTCTAAGATGAAATTTTAGCAACATTACTTACTGATTGGTGACTTTTGTACCTTCAATTTCCACAGAAATAAAATGGGATAATATGTGTCATAGAATTTGGGGATAATGATACAATCCTCAGTCTGGTCTAAGTTCCTTGTAGGAAATGTTTGCTTCAGGTCTTTATCTAAAAGTAGTACTTGAGAAGGGAAATAAAGCTTGATGTTATGAAACAAAGTTTGATGCTTATAAAGAAGAATGTCTTCAATGGCCCTCCTCAGGCAAACAAAGCAGACCCGCTTCACAAGTATAACTTTGCTTTGTAAGTTATGCTTCAGAGAGTGCATTAGAGAAGGAAGTTTTGGTGCTTATCATGCCTGAGGCAAGAACGAGAGGTAGTTTGTAGTGTTTCTGCAGCTGGTGACCTTACCTCTTAATTTCTTAAAGAGGGCAGGACCCTAGATGTTTAGGTTGAGGGCTTGGTTTTATGTAGATTTCTACCTCCAGGACCCTTGGATCAGAGAAGATTAGATTCTTGCAATTTTCAAATTTCCCGATTGATATTTTTGCCAAAACAAAGGACTCATGAAACGGTGGAATATATTTCCCCGGTTAGCTATATGCTATACATCATGCCATACAACCTGGAAATTGCTTTAAATCCCTTTTAACCTGTCTGTTCTGCTTTATCATCTTGGAGTATAAGCTCAGATCATATTCTATTTAACTATTTACCTGAATGACTCCTATTGTCCCCAAACAG